GGAGGAGGAGAAGGAGGAGGAGGACCTGTCGCCTCCCCCGTTTGGCGCGCCGCCGATCCTCCGTTCCGTTTGGCTGGCGGACGCTTCTCGGTCCGGGCGAGAGGGGGGGATAGCAGAGGGGGGGTGAGAATCAGCTCATGTATAGCGGATTTTCCCGGCGCCAGGAGGCGGGGATGGACAGACCTCCCTTTAGTAAAACGTGGTTTAGTGAAAACGACCTGAGGCCCAGACCTGGCGGGCGCAAGCCTGGAAACTGACGGCCACGGCGCCCTCTCGAAAACCAAAAACGGACAACTCACTGATCGACGTGTCACTGTTGGGGGTTCTGTCCACCCCCGAGCCTGGTGGGCCCTGCACGCGAGCCAGGACGCTTCGCCGCTGCCCGATCGTCGGGGCCGCAGAGCGCTTCTCCGAAGGCCCCCAGGCGGGGCTGCAGAGGAGCCCCCCGCCACCCGCTCAGAGGGCGGTGCCCCGAGCAGGAGGAGGAGGAGGAGGAGGAGGAGGAGGAGGAGGAGGAGGAGGAGGAGGAGGAGGAGGAGGAGGGAGGAGGAGGAGGAGGAGGAGGAGAGAGAGGAGGAGAAGGAGGAGGAGGACCTGTCGCCTCCTCCGTTTGGCGCGCCGCCGATCCTCCGCCCCGTCGGCTGGCGGACGCTTCTCGGTCCGGGCGAGAGGGGGGGATAGCAGAGGGGGGGGTGAGAATCAGCTCATGTATAGAGGGATTTTCCCGGCGCCTCCCGGCGCCAGGAGGCGGGGATGGACAGACCTCCCTTTAGTAAAACGTGGTTTAGTGAAAACGACCTGAGGCCCAGACCTGGCGGGCGCAAGCCTGGAAACTGACGGCCACGGCGCCCTCTCGAAAACCAAAAACGGACAACTCACTGATCGACGTGTCACTGTTGGGGGTTCTGTCCACCCCCGAGCCTGGTGGGCCCTCCCTGCACGCGAGCCAGGACGCTTCGCCGCTGCCCGATCTTCGGGGCCGCAGAGCGCTTCTCCGAAGGCCCCCAAGCGGGGCTGCAGAGGAGCCCCCCGCCACCCGCTCAGAGGGCGGTGCCCCGAGGAGGAGGAGGAGGAGGAGGAGGAGGAGGAGGAGGAGGAGGAGGAGGAGGAGGAGGAGAGGAGGAGAGGAGGAGGAGGAGGAGGAGAGGAAGAGGAGAGGAGGAGGGAGGAGGAGGAGGGGAGGAGGAGGGAGGGAGGAGGAGGCAGGAGGGAGGGAGGATGAGGAGGGAGGGAGAGGGAGGAGGAGAGAGAAGAGAGAAGGAGGAGTGACCTTTCGCCTCCCCCCTACCCCCCACCCCCCCCCCCCCCCCCCCTTTTGGCGCGCGCTGCGCGCCGATCCCCCCTCCGTTCCCGGGGAGGGGGTCCATGGGGCGTTCTCTGTCTTCTGGCGGACGCTTCTCGGGCCGGGCGAACGGGGGGGATAGCAGAGGGGGGGGGGTGAGCACCAGCTCACGTACAGCTGATTCTCCCGGCGCCTCCCGGCGCCGGGAGCGCGCCCATGTATCGAGCTATGGTCCCGGCGGCGGGGCCGAAACCAGCTGCAGGCAGCAGATGTCGTTGCCCCCCTTTCCCCCCCACCCCCCCCTTTCGTTTGGTAAAACGACGCGAAGATCGGGACAAAATCGGATCGGGATAACTCGAAATCTCTGAGAATCGCCGGGCTTGGAGGATGTATTGGGCGCCGCGGCTGCTCCAGAGCGTTCCGGAACGCTCTGAGAGCGCTCCGGAACGCTCTGGAGCGATTTACCCCGATCCTAGCCCTGTTTTATTCGGCTCGAGCTTCGCCACTGCCCGAGCCCTGCCGCCCCACCCGGCGTGCCGGCAGGGAGGGCGGTCCGGGCTTTTTCCATACTTTCTGGGTTCTTGTCTCCCCCCCCCCACTTCCCATATTTTCCGGTATTTTCCTGGGGATCGACGATTCATTGTGCCTGTGTGTTTTTTGTTTCCTCCTGACTTTGACTTTCGTTCGGAGCCCGAGCTCCGCCACCGCCCGAGCCCCGCCGCACCACCCGGCGTGCCGGCAGGGAGGGCGGCCCGGGCGCTCCGCCCGCGGCGTGCCCGCCGCGCGCGCGTGCCCGCGGCCGGGCCTCGCCCAGAAGCCCAAAGAGGGCGCGCGTCGGCGCAGAAGCGGATTCGCGCGTGGACGGCTTCGACTTTCCAGGCGCGGCGATCGGACGGTTTTGCGCGCGGGTGCACACCGCGTTCCCCGAGAGGGCGAGGTGTCCTTCGCGCGCAGGCGGGCGCCGGCGAGAAGCCCAAAGAGGGCGCGCGTCGGCGCAGAAACGGATTCGCGCGTGGACGGCTTTGATGTTCCAGGCGCGGCGATCCGATCGTTTTTGACTACCTACCAGACCACCCCAACCCAACCCGAAGAGCCGCATTTCGGGTTGGGGGCGACCCCCCCCCCCTGGAAATCGAGGGTACATCTGAGCCTTCGGGTTGGGTTGGTGTGGTTTGCTGGGCGGATGGTGAGTTTTGCGCGCGGGTGCACACCGCGTTCCACGAGAGGGCGAGATGTCCTTCGCGCGCAGGCGGGCGCCGTTGGGCGCGGCGGGCCCTGTGCGAAACGGGGCTCTCGCCCTTGCGCTGCGCTCAGTCGGTCGAAAAGCCTGCAGCGGCTACAAGGATGGAGGTCGAATTTTGACGGCCGGAACATTGACAATCCCTGCAGCCCTTTAGGGCGTGAGTGGTTTAGCGGGTCTCCTCGTCCATCCCCCCTTCTTCCCCTTCGGGGAGGGTCCGATTACTGTTCCCTATAGAGAACTCTCCCTCCCCCAGGCGACCGGCAGCCAACCAGGACCACGGAGGGCCCCCCCCACCACCACCCCTGAAGTCCAGTTTGGGGCAAAATCTTGGATCATGATCGGGAGGGCCGCGAATCCTTCTTACTGTTTTTTGACAAAGACGGCGGGGGTGCCCGCGAATTGCCTGCTCTGCGCGGGGTCGGCATCCGTGTCAAGAGGCACAATCTGCACCATGCGCGAGCACCTCGCGATCACTGCGCATTGGTTTTGACTGGGACGGCGGGGGTGCCAGCATATTGACTGCTATTTGCAGGCCCACCAGACGCTATGAAGGCCACCCCGCCGCGATTGCGCACTGGTTTTCGACAAGGGTGAGGATTTCGACACATTTCCCAATGTGTACTGCCACGTTCGCAGGCGCACCTGGCACACTCTGCGCGTGTCCCGAACGTGGCGCACCTGGCGCGGCCAGAGCATCCGGCACACATGGCGCACGTGAATCACATGGCGCATCTGGCGCATCGGGAGTGCCCGGCATGCTTTGGCCGCAGGGGTGCCTGGCGCACCTGGCGCGCGTGGCGCGCCTGGCACGCCTGGCGCACCTCGCCCCAGCGTTGCGCACATGGGGGCTGTTTGGTTCTCGTTAGCTGTCCATCCAAAGACTACCACTGAACACGCTGCGGCTCGGGTGCAACTTCTGTGCTGGGCGGGCGGAATGGAGTGAGCGAGACGGCTTCCGGGCGGGGAGGGTGTCTTGACACCTCCCTCTACCCCATTATCCCTGAACCTGCGCGACGGGTTAGAACGTCCAAGACGGCTTTGGCGAGAAAGCCACAATCACTGATCTCAGTAAGAATTGGGCCACATCTTGGCCTCCTGGGGGGGGTCCTAGTTAAGGAGCCCCCCTCCTTTGATCGATCTCCTCGGAGATGGCCCGCAAGACGGCCTCCGAGGCTCACAAGGGTGCCCCAAGACGACTCCAACAGGGGCCCAGGAAGCCTCAAGAGGCCCAAGAGACCCCGAAGAGGCCCCCAGAGGACCCCCAGAGGGGCACCGAGGACTGCCAA